ATATATATGTGGGCGTGTGTGTAAGGCACCATTTTATTATGTAAAAGAATTATAAAGGATAATATTTGCAGGAAAAAATATAAAAAATTTAAATCAGGGTTTTACATGATACTGCCCCTTTAACAAACCTGTGCTGTAGCTGTATACCAGTCATATAAAAACCCTTCTATGTATCAGTGTTTGTCCCTTCCCTTCCTACAATCCTGCATTTTTAATCTGTTTCAGTTCCTGTAACTCCATGTTTGGCGTGTTTGAGCCCGCTGGTCACGAAACATCAAACACTTTCTGTTTGAAAGAGAAACCTCAGAGAAGAGAGCGACTCGGACTTTAAATCTGCAAACTCACCCTCCCATCTTGTACTCTCCAACCCCTCCTTTCCAGGCTCGAACGTACGAAGGGTCTGCCAGCAGAGACACCGGGTTGAAGGACCCCGTGGCGAAGTACGGTCCGACCGGGCCGACGATGACGAAGATCATGGCTCTTCCGGGCCGAGAGACGCCGAGAGACGGCTGGGTGAGGAGCGGGAGATCAGCGCGACCCGTCAGAGGTTTCAGTTCTCAGTGAGCTCGGGTACACATCGTGTGAAGCTCACCTCGGTTCCGATGAAGGTGGGCCGGATGTAGAGGCTGGCGCTCTGGGAGTACGGGACCCACTCCTGGTCGACCTCTACCAGCTTCTTAATGCACTCCAACATTTCCCCTTTGTCAAACAGCTGAAAGAGACGCCAGAAACTGACCTTTAACAACTAAAAAATAAAAAAAATTCATTTTGTTAATGTTAATAATGAATCTTCTGCTTACACCAGAGTTAGTCATGGAGTTCCTCAGGGTTCAGTGCTTGGACCAATCCTCTTTACTTTGTATATGCTTCCTTTAGGTAAAATTATTAATCAGCATGGGATAAATTTCCATTGTTACGCTGATGATACTCAGTTACATTTATTAAACCTGATGAATCAGTTACTTAAACTACAAGCATGTCTAACAGACATAAAACATGGATGACTCTTAACTTTCTGCTTCTAAACTCAGATAAGACAGAGGTTATGGTTCTTGGACCTGAACATCTTAGGGATCAACTGTGTAGCCTTTCACCTCCTCTGGACGGCATTAATCTGGCCTCCAGTTCTAATGTAAAGAAACTTGGTGTTATTTTTGATCAAGACATGTCTTTTAACCCCCACATTAAAAATGTTACCAGGACCACCTTCTTCCACCTGCGTAATATCACTAAAATTAGAAARATTTAGTCCAAAAATGATGCAGAAAAAC